TGCATTGTGTGTTCATCACCCCAGGCCACGTCTCCTCCAGCACCATTTATCCCCTTTGCTCTCTTCTTCCTTCCCCCAACCTTTCCCTCTGAGAATCACCATACTTTGTGTCTATATTTTTTTTTCCTTTTTTCCTAATCTCTTCATCACTTTTTAATCTACTTGACTATTGATGGAAACTTGCATTGCTTTTATATCTTTGCTATAAATAATGCTGAAGTCAACATGGGGTGCACATATTGTTTTAAATTAGTGTCTTGGGATCCTTCAGATATATACCAAGGAGTGAAATTGCTGGATCATAAGCAGTTCCATTTTTAAGAACTTTCACACTTTCCCCCCATGATGTTGCACCTATTTGAATTCCCACCAACGCTGCACTACGGCTCTCTTTTCTCTACATCATCATTAACACTTACTTGTTTGTGGATTTATTGGTGATAGCAATTTTGACAGCTGTGAAGTGGTGTTTCATTGTGGTTTAATTTACATTTCTCTGATATTTGGTGATGTTGAGCAAATTTTGATATGTCTATTGACCATCTCTATGTTCTTCTTGGAGAATTACACAGGTTTTTTTGCCTACAATTTCATTGGGTTGTTTGTTGAGTGTGTGCATGTATGCATGCATGTGTGTCATTAAAATTTTTGGATTAATCCCTTATTGACTCTATCATTGGCAAATATGCTCTCTCATACACTTTTTACCTTTTTGTTTGCTGATGGTTTCCCTTCCTGTGCAAAAAAAATTAGTTTAATGCAGTCCCATTCTTTTTGTTACCTTTGCCCAGAGAGATATATCAGAAAAAAATATTGCTAAGAGACATGTTCGAGATTTTACTGCCTATGTTTTCTTTTAGCAGTTTTATGGTTTTGGTCTTACATTTAAGTTATTAATCCATTTTGAGTTTATTATTGTATATGGTATGAGAAGATGATCTAGATTCATCTTTTTTGCTTCTATTTGTCCAATTTTTCAAGACCACTTATTAGATAGACTTTTTATTAAATTGAATGTTCTTGATTTCTTTGTCAAATATTAATTGACCATGTAGTTTCTATCTAGTTCCATTATCTATGTCTCTATTTTTATGCTGGTACCATGCTGTTCTGATTATTAGGTTGTAGTATAGGTTGATATCAGGTAGTATGATATCACTTTCTTCTTTTTCAAGATTGCTGCTGTCAGTATTTGAAAAGTTTTGTATTTGCATGCAAATCTTTGGATTATTTGTACTAATTCTGTGAAAAATATCATTGGTATCTTGATAGGATTTGCATTTTTATCCAATCATTCATCAATAGACACTTAGATTGTTTCCATGTCTTGGCTATTGTTAACAATAGTGCAGTGGACATAGGGGTACATGTATCTTTATAAATAAGTGTTTTTATATTTCGGGAATAAATACCCAGAAAAAAAATTTCTAGATAATATGGTAGTTCTATTAAGTTTTTGAGAAACCTTGATACTATTTTTCATAGTGGCTGCATTAATTTATATTCCCAACACTGTACAAGTTTTTTATTTGTTCCATATCCTCAACAACACTTATTTCTCATCTTTTTTACAATAGCCATTCTGAAAATATGAGGTGATATCTCATTGTGATTTTGACTTGCATTTCACTGAGGATTAGTGACATTGAGTATCTTTTATTTTTTACTTTTATTGTTAAAAGTATTACATATGGCCCCATTCCCCCCATTGGCTCCCCATAGCCCATCTCAGTTCCCTGCCCCACACCTCCACATCCTCTTCTCTGTGCCCATGGGTTTTGCATATATGCATATAAGTTCTTTGGTTTATCTCTTCCCACCCACCCACTCCTGCTTGTTGGCCATTTGTATGCATTTATTGGAAAAATGTCTGTTCCAATCTGCCTATTTTTTAAACCAGATTGTTGGATTTTGCTACTGAGTTTTAGGAGATTCTTATATATTTTGAGTATTAGCTATTTGTCAGCTACATGATTCAAAATATTTTCTTTCATTTCAGTTTGTCTTTTCAATCCATTGATGATTTTATTTTCTTGCAGAAATTTTTTAGTTTGTGGTAGTGATGTGATAGGCGGGGGCAGAGAAGAAAAGATGGACCGAGTGCAGGTGGTCACAAAGACTGAAAGCCCCAGGTGCCTGGCAATGGGCAACATTGGGAAAACAAGGACTGCCCTCTGAGGTGACCTTTCTTCCTTTAGCACGTTGCCAGTCATGTGGTTTACATCCCCTGACCTTTCCTCCCCTGGCATACTGCCAGTCATGTGGTTTTAGACCCCTTTAGAGGGAGACTGTTTCACAGGCCTCCCATGCAAGTCCTTGCACAACCACTCCCTTACCACATCAAGCGCCCCATCAGTCACTGGTCTGGAAGACAAAACAGGCTGGGCGCTGAACTTGTTAAACATGAATCCCTAGGAACACCAGCGAGGCCTCAGGTGTGTTTCAGCTCCAGGCCCTGAAAAGCCACAAAACCAGACAAGTGATGCCATGACTGACATGAGGACCAGCGGCATTGATAATGACCCCTGCCCTGGCAATGACCAATAAGTGGAGGTCATGATCCTGACCTTGAAAGGACACACCTGGAAAGCTGATCCTTAAAAGTCCTTAGGACTGAGGGCCCAGTCCCATCCCTCTCCCAGGAGCATGCTTTTGCCTTTCCCCTCGCCCTCTTCTTCCTCACAAGTGTGTTACCTTTACCCTTTTCTCTCTAAGCTCCAAGAGCCCTTGTTTTGCTTCTGTTTCCAGAGCCCATTTTTTCTTCAGTCACTTCTACTACCGCTGTGACTTTCTAAATAAACTTTCTCTTCTAGTTTGAGCCTTGGCTCTGAATTATTTTTTTGACAGAAACCAAGTACAAGGTTGCTGAAACAAGGTCCAATCACTGGCAACATTTTGGTATTGTTTCGCTGCCAACAGTACAGCTATTTGTTAGGGTCGCCAAAGGAGGAATGCATGAGGCCAAATGTAGTAAAGGATTATATATTTACTAGAGGCCTGATGCACAAATTCATGCAGGGGGGCAGGTGTCCCTCAGCCCAGCCTGCACCCTCCACCCTCTCCAAACTGGGATGCCTAAATGGGCAGTTGGACATCCCTCTCACAATCCAGGACTGCTGGGTCCCAACTGCTCACCCGCCTGCCTTCCTGATTGCTCCTAACTGCTTCTGCCTGCCAGCCTGATCACCCCCTAACCACTCCCCTGCCAGCCTTATTGATGTCTAACTGCTCTCCTGCCAGCCTGATTGCCCCTAACTTCCCTCCTCTGCTGACGTGGTCACCCCTTACTGCCCTCCCCTACAGGCCTGATCACCCACAACTGCCCTCCCTTGCAGGCCTGGTCCCCCTCAACTGCCCTTCCCTGCTGGCCATCTTGTGGTGGCCATCTTGTGTCCACATGGGGGCAGGATCTTTGACCACATGGGGGCAGCCATCTTGTGTGTTGGAGTGATGGTCAATCTGCATATTACTCTTTTATTAGATAGGATAGAGGCCTGGTGCATGGGTGGGAACCAGATTGTTTGCCTTGAAGGGTGTCCCAGATCAAGGTGAGGGTTCACTTGGGGCATGGGGTGGGGCCCGAGTGAGGGGCCTGTGGTGGTTTGCAGGCCAGCCACACTTCCCCCCCCATTTTTCCCCCCACCCGTGACCCAAGTGGAGACTCTGGTATCTGGGATTTATTTACCTTCTACAATTGAAACTTTGTAGCCTGGAGTGGAGCCAAGCCTCCTGCTCGCTCCATGGCGGCAGCCATTTCTGTTGGAATTTATGTATCTTCTATCATTGAAATTTTGTAGCCTTAAGTGAAGGCCTGGGTCAGCCAGGGCTGCAGAAGCTTGGCTTTATCCATCACCAGTGGCAACCCTAGCCTCCTGCTCTTCCAGCTCTGTGGCTGCCACCATTTCTGTTGGAATTTATTTATCTCCTATAATTGAAGCTTTGTACCCTGCCTGGGCCAGCCTGGGTGTGGGAGGAAAATTTGACTTCCTCCATTGCCAGGGAAATCCAAGCCTCCTTTCTGCTCTCTGTGGCTATAGAATTCTTGGTTTCAGTTAATTTTCATACTCACTCTGATTAGCTTGTGGGTGTGGCTGGTGGGCATGGCTTGTGGGTATAGTGGAGTGATGGTTAATTTGCATATTACTATTTTATTAGATAGGATTAGGTCTCTTGGAAAACCAGATGGAATGAGCCCCCAAATGGCACCATAAGCCAGTGACAGAGAGGAGAGATTTTAGAGGACTCCAGGTGGGCTTTATCTGGGTGGAGAATTCTCTGGGAGGGTCCAGGTCTCTAGGAAGATCTGGAGGGGAAAGGATAATGGTCTTAGCAAGTGGAATGTTGTCTAAGTAAAATAGAATGTGGTCTAAGCAAAGGGAATGTCGGTTATGAAGTGGCCTAAAGGTCAGTCCCCAAGGAGCTAACGGTTATTTGGCAATATATATCTTGAAAATATAGAGTATATGGATCCAATGAAAAGGCTAGAAATATAGAGCACAGGGAGCTTAAGAAAAGTCTACTTAAGTCTTGCTGATTTTTTTTTTTAGCTCCCACTGTTTCTTTTTGGCAAAATTGATTTATTATTAAAAATTTATGACTGTATTTTTTTTTAGAGTTTTTTATCCTCTTGAGATAACTTACTTCTTAAGGATCTGAGTGATAAAAACAAAACATTTACATTTCCATTTACCTGAATATTTTAAATTCTGTCTTTGAAAGATTTAAATTAACACAAATTAGCATGTTAATTCACACTCTTTCTAGTATATGAACTCCTCTGGGTCACCCTTCATTCTTGTGATGAACTATTTGTTATTTAAAATTTAGTCAAGGTGTACATGAGATGCTGAGCTGATATCCAGAAATTTCTTGAATTGACTCAAACCTTCAGTTTTGGCACCTTTGAGATTATCTTCCAGTTTAGGTTTTATGCAGCCATTCAGACTAGACCAGAGGTCTAAAGGGTATCCATTTCTGTAATTTTTGTCTTGAAAATATAGGAGGAAGTGTCCAAAGAGTTATCTGGAGAATGTCAAGATGAAGATGTAGAAAATGAAAGAAAGAGGATCTTGGGGCAGCCACAGGAGCTGCTGGCTTCCTCAGTGACTATAAAGGAGCTCATTAAGGTAACATCCTTCACTGTCCGGTATAAGCTAGCTCATTGCTACCCCAGAGCACGCAGTTGGTGCCCAGGGTTCCCTGTCCTTCTTTGGGATCTGTGTCCATTTCCCAGTGTAATGGAAGAATTTTTATTGTCTGAAGACAGTGGTCCATGGGGTTATTGTACTTAACCTACAAATATTTTTTACTATATTCCTTTTTAGATATATTTTAAATATCCAGTCATTCTGGCTGTGAGAAATATCTCTGTTGCAATCCAAAAGGGGGAATGCTTTGGATTGCTTGGATTCAATGGAGCTGGAAAAACTACTACCTTCAAAATTTTGACTGGAGAAGAGATTGCTACCTCTGGGCATGTGTTCATTGATGGCTTTAACATCACTAACAATATCGAAAGGGTAAGACACTATTACTGTCTGAGATGTGAGGTGCATGATGAGTGGGGTAATGATAACAGGCAGATGGCAGGAGAGAATAGGTAGTAATTATGGTAGTAATTGATATGATACTGTTGACACGGTAGATTCTGGAAAGATAGTGAAGCATCAAAAGCAAAATCTAAAACAAGAGTATATTTGAAACTGTTAGCGGAAAAGGTAAGTTATGTCAATATCTAACATATGCCAGACAGGGTGCTGTAAGGAAGGAAAGACTGGCCAGAAGGAGAAGGTGACCTGAAGTTGAGTTGCAAACTGCAGCTTTGATTCCCATTGGGATGGAACAGGATGGCCTGCCTGAGCAATTCAAAATTGAAACAAGATAGCTGGCCTCTGTCTCCCTGAAAGGCCAGCCATTAGCTACACATGCTACATAAGAAAGAGGACATAACCTTGAAAAGAAACTAAGTGGGGAAAACATTTAAGAAGGAGAAAATGGTCAAAGATGTCAAGTTCAAGGAAGTCTCAGGCAAGGTAAAGCCCAAATAGGTTCTACTGACTCAGTAACTAGAACTGCACTGAGGAACCAGGTGGTGATGGGAGCCTGGGTGGTGCATTCTTTCTTTTCCAGTTCACTGAACACTGCCATCATAACATCAGAAGACAGTGTTCAGGGGGCCTGCGTACTGTAGGACAAGCATGCCAAAGTCAAAGGCCAACACGGGCCAAATAAGCAAGGTGTGAGTGCAGGTGGACTGCAAAAAAGCAAAAGCTTCCACTTTCATAGAAATGTAGGTTTATTTCCATAGAGATATGCTGCTGAGATAAATGAGTCATCGTTAACATAAAATAATAGAACATTTTAATAAAAGTTAAATGTTTTTCTTGAACATTAACTTACCAGACACTGAATAACTGGCACAAATTAATAAGCATAATAAAGCAAATAAACCTATTTTTCTTGTTCTCCAAAAGCAAAATATTTCCTGTTATGCACACTAAACAAGTCAGTACAAGACTAATGGCATGGCAATCAGCTGCTGTAATATTCACTGCTGGTATTAGTGGAGAGAAATGGTGTGCCTGTGTGTAAGACGCATAAGGGAAATGAGTGCAACATGATTGTAGTAATCAGTCATTAGTGAACATTGTAGTTCTTTATCAATAATTATGTATAACAGGACCTTGTAAAAATTAAGTCACAACATTTTTATTGAAACGTTTCTTACATACCGTTACATTGGCTGGGCCATGGAAGTATTTGTTGTGGGCAGCCTGCAGGATAGGATAAACAGTAGTCTGGTAACAAAAGTGAAGCTGAGAATTTGGATTATAGTGTGAAGAAAGTTATCTGTGAGACAAAGGGAAGTCTTAAAATTTATTCAGAGTTATGAGACTAAGAAGGGCAAACTTATACATTGAGCCATTTGATCCTGAGACTGGAGGAAGTTGAGGAACTAGAGGAAGGGTGATAGATGATGAAAAAAGGCGAGTGGGTCCTGTCAGGTGGTTCTTGGATAGAAAGACTCATCCAAGTGTCCCCATCCACACCCCTTAGCAAGTCCCCTGGGGGGACATATTTTATGAGGAATGACAGAGAATCAAATGAAGATGGTGTCACACAGAAAAGCTAACTTGGGAGCAAAAGAGATAGTCCACATAAAGGGTCAAGTTTAAAGAGATGAAGTAGACAAGTAGGAGCCTTTTGCAATGGCGCATACATTGAGTTTGAGAGAGCTTTTCAATCTTCAAGGAATCTCTCCAAGTTGGCACATCTGAAGCATGACAGATGATCTTTTCATTTCTTTGGGCTTTAATAATGTTTCTAGCATTGTCCATTTTATTGTGGCAAAAATATGTTATGGAAAATTTACCCATTTTAAACATTTCTGAATGGGCAATTCATGGGCATTTAGGACATGCACATTATTGTGCAAACTTCACCACTATCCATCTCCAGACCTTCTGCATTTTTTCAAAATGAATGTCTACCAGTTACACAGTAACTCCTCGTTCCCCTCTGTCCCCTGGTATCTGAAAGACCAGGACTCCAGGATTTATTAGAGGAGAAGGACCTGCCGGGCTGCCTCACAAGGGGAGAACAGCAACTCCTGCAAAGGTGAACACACCCTTTGAGGGAAGGAATGGAAAGGAATGGGGCTTAGTGTACTCGGCATGCGCTGATTGGCAGTTTAATGTATGGTCATGTAGGGACAAAGGCTTAGGGTATCTGGCAGGTGCTGATGGTGGTTCAATGTAGAGTCCATATAAGGTGCCGGGTTAGGTGCTCAGGATGTCCAGGCCACTGGTCACATCATACTTTGCCCACCGGCTGGGGAAAGGGAGGATCTATCAGCATCCACTATTCTACTTTCTGGTTTTATACATTTGACTATTCTAGGTACCTCATATCACCAGAGTAATATTTAATATCTGACATTTTATCTAGCATAATCCCTTCAAGGTTCACATACTGGTATGTATCAGAATTTTATACCATTTCAAGGCTGAATAATATTCCATTATAACAGGTCCACAGCTTGTCCATTAACCTATTGACAAACTTTGGGGCTGTTTCCCCCCTTGGCTCTTGTGAATAATGCTATTCTGAACATGATTGGACAAATATCTTTCCATTATTTGGGATATATTTCTAAAAGTAGACTTTAAGCATATAAGGTAATAGGTTTAATTTTCGGGGGAAATGCCACCCAGTATTTTAAAGTGGCTGCACCATTCTATATTTTCACCAGCAATCCACCAGAGTTCCAACTTCTCCACATCATCACAGACACTTGTTTGTTTTTTTGTTTGCTTGTTTTTTATCGATAACACCCATCTTAATGGGTGTGAAGTGGTACGTCATTGTGGTTTGACTTGCATTTCTCTAATGATTCTGATGTTGAGCATCTTTACATGTGCTTATGGGCCATTTGAATATCTTCTTTGGAGAACTTCCTCCTCAATTGAGTAGTAACATTTTAAATTTGGATTGTTTGATTTTTAATGCTGGAAAAGTTCTTTATGTAATCTGGATAATTATCCCTTACCATATGTATGATTTGCAAATATTTTCTTTCATTCTGTTGGTTGCCTTTCCAATATTCTTTGATGCACAAAATCTTTAAATTTTGATGAAATACAACTTATATACTTTTTTTGAAAATGTACTAAAATTTAATCATTCATAAAAGCTTTAATTTAATCTGACAGTAAAACACAAGAAGCAATATTAGAATTGGTTTAGTATATTATATATTTTAGCTTTGAAAGCCATAGAAATCAGTTATCTCAGTTTTTTTCCTATAAAAGACTCATTTTTTCCAAAGCATTATGCACAAACAATTTTAATTAGAATATAATGACAGAATGACATTTCATAATTTTTAAATATAAAATGAAGTCAATGACTCCAAAAAGTTATCTGCGGTAATGAGTTTGAGGGCAAATTTCATCATCTATATCATTACAGATATAAAGTATAATGGTTCAACATTTAGTGCCTGACGGGCGGAATCATGATAAAAAGGTCAATATTGAAATCATTTGATTATAGTAGCAATATCTACTATATTGAAATGCATCCATGCTCTTTTGTATAATCAAATTAGAGTCAAATATATTTATTTTCACATCTATTATAACTGCTATTGCAAATGAGAAATACTATTGTCTTATTTTCTGAGAGATATACACAGAGCAATTTTTTTTTCTCTCCAGGAAACTTGTGCAAACCAATATAAGATCTAAATTCTTCACATAATATATAAAACAGGAGAAGCCGCTTCAGATTTATTTTTTGAAGTCTGGAATGCTGGCACTTTCCAATTAGGCAACAGTTCTTCATTCCTGTAATCTGGCTCAGAGCTGCTGCTCACTGTGGGCCTAAAGCAGCAGGCAGGATTTCTTTTTAGGCTTCTTCTTTTCCACTGGTGTTTTCCTACTGATCTGTCTGACCAGGTCATAAAATATCTCATTAACGTTGATCTTTGACTTTGCAGAAGATTCTAAAAAGGCACAGTTACAACACTGTCTTGCTAAATTCTGACCCTGTTCTTTGTCAACTACTCGCTCATCTTCCAGGTCACATTTATTGCCAACCAAAATCATCGGAACATCTTCTGTGTCCTTAACCCGTAAAATCTGTTCCCTCAGGTCCTGGAAGTCATTAAATGTGGAGTGAGCTGTGATAGAATATACCAGTGCAAACCCGTGGCCATCCCTCATCGCTGTAAATTGCTCCGTTCCCGCTGTGTCCAGGATTTCGAGCATACACTGTTGGCAATCTACTTCACCTTGCTTTCTGTAGGAATCTTCTATCGTTGGGTCATATTTCTCAACAAAAATTCCCTGAACAAACAGAACTGTCAGAGCAGACTTCCCCACGCCTCCTGAACCAAGGACCACTAGCTTGTACTCACGCATGGTGTGGTCTGTTTAAATGCTGACAATCCCCTGAGTCCAGCGCCTCCTCGGCCTCCTCCTCTTCCTCCTCCCTCCTCTCGGCCGTGGCTCCGGCTCTGGCTCTGCGCGGCGAAGGCGCCTCCAGAACGCGCACGGCTATACTTTTTTTTTTTTTTTAATTGCCTGTGCTTTTGGTTTCATATCCACAAATCATTACTAAATCCAATATCATGAGCTTCTCTTATGTTTTTTTCCTAAGATTTTTATAGTTTTAGAACTTACTTTTAGGTTTTTAATCCATTTTAAGTTAATTATTATATAGTAAAAGATAAGGGTCAAAATTCAGTCTTTGCACCCTGGCTGGTGTGACTCAGTTGATTGGGCATTGTCCAGTGCACTGAAAGGTTGTCAGCTTGATTCCTGGTTAGAGCATGTGCCCTAATTGTGGGCTCAATCCCTGATAGGAGGCATGCACAAGGCAGTTGATTGATGTTCCACTCTCACATCTCTGCCTCCCTCTCCCTTCCTCTTTCTCTCTCAAATACATCGTTTAAAAAAAAATTTTTTTAAATAAGTCAGTCTTTGCATGTGAATATATAGGAGTCGCAGCACCATTTGTTGAAAAGACTATTCTTTACCTCATGAGTGTCCTTGGCACCCTTGTTGAAAATCATTTGACTATTTTTGCAAAGGGTCGTTTCTGGGCTAACTTGTTTCATTGTTCTACATATCTGTCTTTATGCCAGTACTACAGTAGCTTTAAAGCAACTCTTAAAATCAAGAAGTGAGTTCTCTAAATCTCTTCTTTTTTGAGATTGTTTTTCACTAATGGGCAATTCATTGGCATTCAGGACATGCACACTATTGAACTAGAAGAAGAAGTGATGGATTATAAGAAAAGGTGAGTGGGTCCTGTCAGGTGGTTTGGGGGATAGAATGGTGAGTGGGGCCCATCCTAAGTATCCCCACACTAAATTTAAGGATGGGTTTTTCTATTTCTGAAAACAAAATCATTAGGATTTTGCTAGAGATTGCATTGAATCTGTAAATAATTTTTGGTAACTTTGACATCTTAATTTAAGTCTCTCAATGCATGAACATTGGATGACTTTCCATTTATGTATGCCTTCTTTAAGTGTTTTGTAGTTTTTAGTGTACATGCATTTTGTTATTTTCTTTTAATTCTCACCCAAGGATATTTTTTCCATTGATTTTTAGAGAGAGTGGAAGAGACAGAGAGAGAGAGATTGATGTGAGAGATACACACCAATTGGTTGCCTCTTGCATGCAACCCCCCTGGGGCCGGGATCGAGCCTGCACCCAAGGCATGTTTTTGACTGGAATTGAATCCAGGATCCATCAATTTGAGGGCCAATGTTGCCAAACTAGCCAAGGTTAGTGTACATGTATTTTGATTCCTTGGTTATTCGGAATATTTCTATTATGAAGTTTTTTTTATGTTATTGTAGATTTAATTATTGTTTAATTTCCTCTTTGGATTTTTCATTGTTAGTGTATATAAATGTGACTGATTTTTGCATATTGATTTTGTATTTAATAACTTTGGTAAATTTGTCTATTATAATTGATTTTGTGTGTCTGTTGACTCTGGGGTTTCCTACATATGGGATCATATAATCTGTGAACAATGATAATTTTACTTGCTTTTAATTTGAATGTTTTTAATTTATTTTTCTTGAAAATGTCTCTGTATAGAATTTCAATCTTCTGTTCAATAAAAGTGGTGAAAGCATGCATCCTTGTTATGCTCCTGATCTCTGAAGGAAAACTTTTAGTCTTCAACCATTGAGTATAGTGATAGCTATGCATTTTTCAATATTTACTTTTTTATGGTGAGAAAGTTTCCTCTCTAGTTGATTGTGTGGTGGACACATATTTCATCATGGACACATATTAAACTTTGTCAAATGCTTTCATCATGGACACATATTAAACTTTGTCAAATGCTTTCTCTTCATAGATTAAGTTGATAATTCATTCTGTTAACGTGGAATCTTAAATTGACTGATTTTCATATGTTAAACCATCCTCACATTCCAGAAATAAATCCCACTTACTCATTGTCTATAGTCCTTTTAACAGGCTATTAATTATGTTTTGTAGTAGGTATTATGTCAAGGGGTATTGCATCATTGTTCACAAATAATATATATAGGTCTGTTGTTTTCTTTTTATGGCTTTGGTTCTAGGGCATTGCTAGCATCGAAAAAATGAATTAGAAAGTGTCCTTTTTCTTAAAATTTTGGAACAATTTAAGGAAGATTGGTGTTAATTTGTAATCAGACAATCAGTGTGTCCGGGCTTTCTGTCACTTCTTGAGCCAATTAAGCAGAGTTGGATAATTATGAGAGTTTATTCCAATACTGCCAGCAGCGTGGGAGAACAGCAGGTCATCTGCTCTGCCCCCCATCATAAACTGGCTGTTTATATTGGTAGAAGTACACAGGAAAGTAGGCAAAAGGGTAAATGAGCAGGATACAGATATGCAAAAGAGCTGGGGTCTTCAAAGGGCTGGAGGTTTGCAGCTCAGAAGGGGGAGGGCGGATTATATGATCCCATATGCATTTCCCAGTGAGCAGCCAGTCCCCAGTGTGTAACTGCCAGCCAGGTTAGAACTTGCCTTCCTCAATCAGAGCACAGCCACCGCGGCTAACTGAGCAGGGGCAATGTTTCTCACAGTTCTAGCTGGTTCCCCACATTCTATTTTTGCCCCTATCAAATTCTTCTTGAAGTGTCTGGTAGAATTCACCAGTGAAATCATCTTGTTCAGGACTTTTCTTTGTTGGGAGGTTTATGATTAGCGATTGGATCCCTGTTCTAGTTATCAGTCTATTCAGATTTCCTATTTTTTAAAATTCAGTCTCAGTATTTGTGTCTCTAGGAATTTTCCCATTTCATCTGGGTTATCCAGTTTGCTGCTGTGCACCACTCATGGTAGTGCCTCATAATCTGTCCACCGGGGTGGTGTCAGAGTCAGCAGCAAGAGCACCACACAGCGCTGCTGGACTGACTGGCTCTGAGTGGCTGAGTCCATGTGTTCTTCTAAATTCTCCCATCCCACTACACCAGGGCTGGTCCCTCTGAAACCCTGCCTACTGACTCTGGGGTTTCCTACATATGGGATCATATAATCTGTGAACAATGATTGTGGTAACTTAGTCCACGTTTCTCCTTTATCCTCTGCTCACTAGTCATGGGTGCTGGGTCCAAGCCCCTTTGCCAGGGGCTGGACCTCCAAGGATGCCGGGTCAGAAGAGTCTGTGGGTGTGTAAGGATGCGCCTTGATTGCAAAAGCCAGTGGCCACAGAGCAGTCAGACAGAAGAGTCCTCACAGCACAGTCCACACAGGCAGACAGCGGACACTGGCTGGTGAAGGTAGATCTTTCCCACACAGCAGCATCCGTCCCTGAACCCACAGCTGGTACCTGAGCAGCCACACACTACCTCCTACACTCACCGCCTCACATTGTAGTGTTATCTGAGCCCTCTGGCTCAGCTGCTTCTCCTGTCTCTCCCGCCCAGCTCCTCTCTCTAGCAGACTTCCTCACACACTCCATCCCAGCTGCTCTTTCTCCACCAACAGACTTCTTCTCACTCCTGCCTCAGCCAACGAGACTGGTCAGTAACCTACTCTTATGCCATTTAGACAAAGAAGGCTTCGTGACAACAGTGATGTCAATCCTATTGGCTCTGAAGGGCACAGGGGACCTGGCAGCCTGGCCCTGCTCATGTATCTTGGCTGATTGGGTTTCCAGACTCAGAGTCCCGGGACATCCCATTTAGGCTCATGCCCAGAGTGGCCTTTGGTCCTCCTGGTGTATTGGTAACAAGGTCTCTGTGCTCCCACCGGCCTTGGCCGTTCGGAGACCTGGTGTGGCTCCCACAGGTGGGCGAAAGCATGTAATAATTAACAAATTACACAGGAACAAACTCTGTGTTTCACAGATTCACAACGGTAAGCTTACTTTTGCCCACCCCATATTTGTATAAAATCAGTAGTGATGTTCACACTTCTGACTTTAGTGATTTATGTCTTTTATTTGTTTTCCTAGTCAATGTAGTAAAGGTTTGTTAACTCTGTGATCTTTTCCAAATACTAACTTGTAGTTTCATTGATTTTCAGTGTTATTTTAATCTCTATTTTACTTATTTGCTTTATTCTAATCTTTATTAAGTCTTTTGTCAACTGATGGTCACTAGCAGGAATTCAAGGCCATCAGGAATTCACAATTTGGGGTGTGATGAAGAAGGAAACTGTTCAGTGCAAAGCAGCTCAGTTGTGATAGAGCAGGGTGTAAAAACAGCACAGTTGTGAGGCAGCCTGGCCAGGCCTGAGGCCAGACAGCTCTGTTCTGCTCCATGACGGTCGACTAAGCACTGTGCTAGTTTAGTCTGCTCTGCTCTTTGCCAGTCTGTCCTGGCTGGCACTGGTCTGCTTCACTCTGCTCCAGTGAGACAACCTCAGTGTTTTAGCTCAGCCAGGGGGGGTGAGTCTTCAGTCTTGAATGAAAGTACTCTCGAGAGCCAGAGAGGAGCTGGCTTCCATGGACAGAAGTCCTCACCTCTGGCCCCTGGTTGGATTGAGAACTTTAAATCCTTGCAGTTGATTGATCCAAAAGGCACTGTCCTGATTGGCCTGTTAACATAAAAAAAATAATAATAAAATTTAAAAAAAACCACACACATTGAAACCTGTAAAGAATTTTGTGAGTTTATTTGAGCCAAAATGTTGACATATGCCAGGAAACAGAACCTCAATGAATTGAAATAATGCTCCAGAGAATGGTGGGTTACATTTGTGTTTATTGCAATAAAAGGAGGGGCATAGTTGGATTACATGAATTCCATTGGTGATGGATTAAGGAAGTGAGATAAAGCCAAGTGGGGGTGGGGAAGTAGGACAGAGGGTGAAACCCCTGGGATTAGATAAAAAGTAAAATGATGGACACACACTTAGGTGGGTCCAGGAACAATTAACATGGTAATGAAGGAATTTGTGTCTATGTCCTGGCAATCACCACATTTGGTCGGGCCCAAGGGGCTCCAGAAAAAGGGAAGTTACAAGTTACCCAGACATTTCAAGGGCATGTTATCTTAGATGCAAAAAGACACATAAGCTCAG